CCGAGCCCCGGCCTCCCGTCCCTCCGTCCCGCTTTTGCTTCCGCATCCCGGCCGGGAATTGCGGCCCGGCGGGGACGGCGGCCCCGGGCGGGCCCCGCGCGGCCGCCTGATCCCGCACGAACCCAGCCCGTGGCGAACGGGAGCCCCCGCTCCGCTCCGGCCCCGGCGCCGCTCCGACGGGGCGCCCGGGACCGGCGCCCGCGGGGGACCCCGCGGGGATCAGGGAGCGACAGCGGGCGGCACAGCGCGTTCCCGGCGAGCAAATCCTGCGGGATTAGAGCGGCTTTTCCTGCCCGGCCGCCGGGAGCTTTGTGCTCCCTGCTGAGCCGGCGGGATCAGCGCCGGAGCGGCGGCTCGCGCGGCCGGTGACGGCGTCGCCGGTGTCCCGCAGGCGCTGCCCCGAGGGATGGCCGCCGACGTGCACAAGAAGAAAGGCTGGGAAGTGCCCAACGGGTCGCTGGCGCCGGGAGATGGGCAGCACGCCGAGCGGGCCGAGAGCCCCACGCCGGGGCTGGCGCAGGGCACCGAGCCGGGTAAGGAACGCGCGGCCCTTGGGTGCCCCGGGCGGTTTGGGGGGGGGTCCCGCGCCCCGTCTGCCGCTGGCGGCGGGGCCGTGCGGCGGCTGCAGGGCCCGTCGCCCGCAGGCGCGGGCCAGGAGGGCGCCATGTTCGTGCACACGCGCTCCTACGAGGACCTGACGAGCCCCGAGGAGGGTGGCGCGGCGGCGCGGAGCCCGCCCGAGGGGCCCGGCGAGCCGCCGGCGCCGCCGCAGCCCAGCAGCATGGAGCAGATCAGCAAGGACTTCAGCGAGCTGAGCACGCAGCTCACGGGCCGGGCGCTGGGCGAGGAGGGCCCGCTGGAGGCGGCGCCGGCGGCCGCCCGCCGCGACTCACTGCTGCCGGCCAAGGAGGACGAGGACGTCACCATGGACGCGTGGCGCCTGCGCCGCAAGCACGTGTTCGTGCTCAGCGAGGCGGGCAAGCCCGTGTACTCGCGCTACGGCTCCGAGGAGGCGCTCTCCAGCACCATGGGCGTCATGATGGCCCTCGTGTCCTTCCTGGAGGCCGAGAAGAACGCCATCCGCTCCATCCACGCAGGTACCGCGCCGGCCGGGGGGCCGCGGCGCGGGGCCGCCGCGCTGCCCTCGGCCCGGCGGGCAGCACGGAGAGCCTGGTCCCCGCTGCCGGGGTCTCCCGTGTGGGATGCGGGGTGCGGGGAGCCGGCCTCACGGGTCTCTTCCCCGTGTCCCCCCCGAGCAGATGGCTACAAGGTGGTCTTCGTGCGGAGGAGCCCGCTGGTGCTGGTGGCGGTGGCGCGGACGCGGCAGTCGGAGCAGGAGATCGCCCACGAGCTGCTCTACATCTACTACCAGATCCTGAGCCTGCTCACCTGGACCCAGCTCAACCACATCTTCCAGCAGAAGCAGAACTACGACCTGCGCAGGCTGCTCGCCGGCTCCGAGCGCATCACCGACAACCTCCTCGATCTCATGGCCCACGACCCCAGCTTCCTGATGGGCGCCGTGCGCTGCCTGCCCCTGGCCGCCAGCGTGAGGGACGCCGTGAGCACCAGCCTGCAGCAGGCCAAGGCCAAGAGCCTCGTCTTCTCCATCCTCCTGTCGGGGAACCAGCTGGTGTCCCTCGTCAGGAAGAAGGATCAGTTCCTCCACCCCATCGACCTCCATCTCCTCTTCAACCTCATCAGCTCTTCCTCCTCCTTCCGGGAGGGCGAAGCCTGGACTCCCATCTGCCTCCCCAAGTTCAACTCCAGCGGCTTCTTCCACGCCCACATCTCCTACCTGGAGCAGGAGATGGACCTGTGCCTCCTGCTGGTCTCCACCGACCGCGAGGACTTCTTCACCGTCTCCGACTGCAAGCGGCGCTTCCAGGAGCGCCTGCGGCGCCGGGGGGTCCAGCACGCTCTGCAGGACGCCCTGCGCACCCCTTTCTACAGCGTGGCCCAGGTGGGCATCCCTGACCTCCGCCACTTCATCTACAAGTCCAAGAGCTCTGGGCTCTTCACCAGGTGAGCGCGGAGCCGGCCGGGGAAGGGCACTTTGCTCGGGACGAGGTGCCGGGGCGCGGGGTGAACCCCCTCCGCCGGTGCCCATCTCGGGGCGGGCGCTAACGGGGCGCCGTGTTCCCGCAGCCCCGAGATCGAGGCACCCTACGTGCGCGAGGAGGAGAAGGAGAGGCTCTTGGGGCTCTACCAGTACCTCCACAGCCGCGCTCACAACTCCTCGCGCCCCCTGAAGAACATCTACTTCACGGGCCCCCGCGAGAACCTCCTGGCTTGGGTAAGGGCCGTCCCCAGGGACGTAAGGACGGTCCCCACCCACGCAGCGGGCACCGCGTGGCTCCCCTCGGGGGGGATAGACGTGGGATAGGGGCTGGGTGATCCCGTCGCCTCCATCCCCGCGCGGCAGAGCAGGGCAGGATGCAGCGTTGGCGCTGTGGTCCCCGGGGCGGTCTCCCCGCCCCGTGTCTGGCCCTTTGAGGGTTGCCCTGGACAGAGGATCCAGGCCCCTGTGCCCTGGCCCCAAGGACTGGGCCACCCACTGCCCTGAACTGCCCGGTGTCACAGGAGACCTGCACCAGGACCACCCTTGTTGCCCCAAGGGGTGGGGGATAGAGCAAGAGAGGCGCTTGGTGCCCCTGCCTTTGGGCAGACCAGGTGCCACCTGCTTAGGATGCCCCATCTCTGCCCCCATAGCCTGCAGGGGAACAGGGGGCAGTGCCAGGCGCCTGTGGGGCACAGATCCGGGCCTGACTTGTTGCCCTTCTCCTCCGCCCAGGTGACCAGCGCCTTCGAGCTCTACATCTGCTACAGCCCGCTGGGCACCAAGGCTGGCGCCATCAGCGCCGTCAACAAGCTCATGAAGTGGATCCGCCGGGAGGAGGAGCGGCTCTTCATCCTGACGCCCCAGACGTACTGAGACACGGGGCCGGGCGGGGGCCGCCCCGCTGGGCCAGGGCAGCCCGGGCCGTGCCCGGTGCCCCTCGTGAGCACGGGAGAGAGGGCCCCGGAGGAGCCCGCCCGTGGGACGGGGAGACCTCGGCTGTTAGACACGGGGCGGGTGGCATCACTGGGGGGCTGCTGCCACGTCCCCGACCTGCGTGGAGCCCTGCATGGGGCAGGCTGCCGCGCTCGCGTCGTACCGGCGCCGCGGCCGCGCGGGCGCCAGGCGGCCCCAGCGAGACTCAGGGTAGCGGGATGCCCGCTGGGGTGCCCGTGGGGCTGCGTTGGCCGCCCCCTCGGACACGGGTGGTGGGAGCGCCGCCCCGCGCGGTGCCGGGATCCCCAAGGGGCAGCCGGAGCGCAGCCCCCCGGGGCGACCCCGCTGGCTCGGGGCCGCGGGGCCGCCTTCCCCGGGGGCAGCCCGCGAGCCCCGGTGCCCGCTGCACGGGGCACGGAGCGGGCAGGGCTCGCGCGGCGCCGCCCCTGCCGGGCCGCGATTGCTTCTCTTTGCTCATAAACATTATGGGACCCCAGCACACGTCGTGTCGCCTTCGTGTCCGTCTGTACCGAGAGGGCCACGGGGGCCAACGGAGAGGCCATCCGGGTGCCATCACCCACCCCGCTCTCCTCCCATTCCACCCTCCGCAGTGATGTGGCCGTCCCCTCTTTACAGAATCCGTCCCCTCTTCACAGAATCACAGAATGGTTGGGGTTGGAAGGGACCTCCAGAGATCGTCTCATCCAAGCCCCTGCTCCAGCAGGGACACCGGGAGCACGGGGCACAGGGCGGCATCCAGGCGGGTTTGGAAGATCTCCAGGGAAGGAGACTCCACAACCTCCCTCTTCCTGACAAGGAGTTTGTGGGAGCCTGACGGAGCCACCCACCACGGTGGCACCTGGCGGGGCCCTTGCAGTGGAACCGCAGGGACCTGGTGGGGCCTTTGGCATCCAGCTCCAGTCAAGTGAAGGACCAGGGAGCAAAGCCAAGGAGCAACGCAAGGAAAACGGGGACACAGATGGGGGGGGAGCCACGAAAGGCTCCAGACAGGTGGGATGGGGCCAGCTCATGTCGCAACGAGGGGAGCCGGAGGAAAGAGGCAGTTGGGCAAGGCGTGCGGGGCCTTGCACAACGCGGGCAGGAGCCTGGCGAGGCGACGAGGGCAGGGGGGTAGCAAAGGGGAGCCCGTTTTCGGCGTGCTTGAACCCCTCAAAGCGGCCAGGAGGAAGGCAGCCCTACCCGTCCTCACGGCAGCACAGCCCTCGGGAGCAGGCCGTGCTGGCGGGAGCGGGGATGAGCTGCGGGAAGCACCGAGGCCCGTCTGGAGGCCGGAGAGCCGCGGGGCCGGCGGGCGGCGGGGCCCGGAGCGCTGCTGTGCCGCAATCCCCCCCGGAAAGCCGAGCCTGCCTGGAAATGAGTCGCCGGGCGCCTGCCGGCTCAGGCGGCGTCAGGGAAGCGGTGATTTCACTGCCTGGGTGTCGACAGGCCCTGCCGGCCGCGAGGAGCCGGGTGCTGCTGCAGAGGGACACTAAGGTGCTGAGGAGCCTGAGCCCCCCGCGCCGGCACCGCTGCTTTTGGGGGCCAGGGCGGCGGGTCTGGGTGCTGGGACACGTGGATGCTGCTGGTGGCAGGACGTGCTGCTCGCGGTGGCGGGTGGCAGGACACGGGGTGGCCGTGGGACCACGGCACCACGGCGCTCGGTCCCCTGTGGGACAGGAGCACCCCGTATCCCTCCAGGGTACCCCGCGTCCCCCCGGGAGCTGCCCGGGCCCCGCATCCCTCGGGGCCCCCCCGTGTCCCACGGGAGCGGCCCGGGCGCGCCCGGCCCTCGGGCAGCCCCGCACCGGGCCCGGCCCAACCCGCCCCGCTCCGCCCCGCTCC